CTTAACTTCATATAGTTAACTGAAATTCAATTGATTTGTTTGCTTAATGCTTGTAAATCAACATTGAAGATATTTATTTATAGAGTCATTTAAAGACCTATTTTGTTCTGTTAACTGACATTGCAAATTGTACTATACAGTAAGTTTGTAATTCCCACAACTCTAGAATTTTCTCTTATTTAGTTATTATGCTTTTTACATTAATTTAAATGAATATATACACACATATATAGTGACTAAAATATATTGAATTATAATTCTGTAAAACCAAACTGAATCTTTATAGCTCAAACTTATTTATAATTGGTATGTTAATCTTAAAAAAAAATGCCTTTTTGTCCCCCACTAAAAATACAGTAATATCATTGTAAGATTGAAAGACAGAAGAAGAATCAGAAAACTTTCTGGTTTTTGTTTGTTTGTTCTGCTTTGTTTTGTTTTTTAGTGTCCAGTCTCTTTAATTACAGAGTGATTATGGTAAAGGTTCCAGACATCCACTGGTCCCTGCACTCCCAAGTGGCACTCTCCGTAGGTTCTTGAGTCGCTCCTCCGGGTCTGCATCAGCATCAGCCAGGGCTGAGGCTGCAGCTTCTGGTTTTGTCTCACCAGCAGCTACACTGAGTGAGCCTCCAGTAGAGGGGAGGTTGGACAGCTCATCTGTCAGGCTCAGTCCCAGCTCATCCAAGACCTGGGATACAACAGCATCACTCTCCTCTTCATCTTCCTCATCACCCATGGCATCATCAGTGGCATCATTCATCATTTCCTCCTTCATGTCCATGATCTCTGCCTGCTGCTCAAATTCCATCATGATCTTCTGGATCTGGAGCAATTTTAGCTGTCTGTTCATTGTGCCCATGGCCTTAGTGACACCCTTCATGGCTTGAGTCATTGAGTTGCTGAACTTGAGCGTCTGAATCTTGAGCTACACAGCCTGGATATTGGCCCACATCAAAACAAAGTTGCGTACATAGCGCCTAGTGCGCACTAGGTCTTTTGCCATGATGTGCACAGCATCCATCTGGCCCTGCTTGGCCATCTTCTTGATGTCTGCAATGATTTTCTTCTCCTGGGTCT